CCTACCTACCTACCTACCTACCTACCTACCTACCTACCTACCTACCTACCTACCTATATATATATATTTATATGTATATCCGATTACACTCCCGTCCTTTCCGTTATTGTCCTTTCATGTTTATCCAATCGTCTCTCATTGTTCTTTGAAAGATGCATGTTGAAGCCTTTAGATGTACATAGATGTACTATATGGACGCTTGAAGAGGGGATGTGCCGCTGTGCTTGTCTCTAAACAATTTAAAGAACAGAGATTGCCCAACCTTTCTTCCGCCCAGCTGTTGCAGAAGATTGTGATATATTAGGGTAGAAACAGGGCATGTGAAGTCCTGCACTCTTTTCAGGGCCCTAAAGCTGCTGGGATGTGCTTCACTGCACAATGGGATTGCATTTTTCACATTTGTGGTCCTCCTTTAGAGGAGGAGCCCATGCAGCCTTTACTGCACATGTTCCGTTTTCTTTGCAGATCCGACCGTTGGCTCAACATTTTCACGTGCACTTCTACAGTTCCATCGAGATCATCGAGCTACTGAAACGCAGACATTCCACAAGCTGACCTGCTTCAAGAAGTTGCTTGATGTGCAAACGACAGAATCGCTACCAGCAGCTGGTTTGTGGTTGATTGGGCCAAGTGTTGCCAGCCGGCGAGATGGACTGCTTGACTCTTGATTTCAGGATTCCGACGCAGTGAAGGACTAGGTACGACATTTAGAGAAGCTTAGAATCAAGGTCACCAGGCATATCCAGGCATGCAGTATGCAAGTGAATTATGGTGGTCTAATTGTCTATAATCATTGATGCCACAGCCAATAGAATCCCAGTTCTACGGCTCTAGAGCTTGGTCGAGCACATCTAGCGACGTTCCGCTCCCATCCATTCGTGAGACACTCAGGAACGGGGTTCGATCAGCAGTGCCTCTTGGATCAATCGCCATTGGATGATTGAGTACGAAGGCCTGGGCTTTCCATCACAACAAGCAACACTCATGCCTTTGCCGGACTGGAGATTGTGGAAGCTCCTGATAGGCCCAGGGGCACATCCTTTCACGCGGTTGGGGTTGGAAACTGAAACTGGCAAGTATGACCACTGGTCAGAAATCCGTGTTTTGCTGGCCGGCCACTGTTGCACAGCCGACTTATCGTCCTTTTTCGTGGCTTCCACTCCAGTCATACTTCGCCCCCGCAACAAAGGCAGTGCCTTCGGGCGAGAAGCCCCACACTGCGACCTGGAGCCCCGAAAAGGAACGTCGGCGACCTGTTGAAGGTGGCCAGAAAAGGAAAGGAACTGGAGTTTTTTGACGTTGGGACTTGGTGCTTTCCACTGGAACGTGGGCGACCTGTTGAGCAGCCTCCGACGACGACGGCGCCAAGGATGGGCATCGCCTTGTTCCGCGACGCGGCGCCGCTGCACGTGACGGTGACCATCCGCAGCCTCAGTGGACGCCCGGCGTGGTTGAGGGGTGCAGGTGGCTTTCATGAGCTTTTGTGAGTATATAGTAGAAAGGGTCAAGGGTCATAGAATTTTGCGGCCGGCGGATGCTTTTTTGCATGGGTTTTATCGTTATCAGATGTTTGGACTGATTTTCTATGCCCCAGTGATAAAGTCATTGATCAAAGATGATCATGCAAACCAAGCGAAGACCACAAGTGACGATTGCCCCTTTGAGGAAAATGCTGGACCCTGGAGCTTCCTGCACCTTGGAGAACAAGAAGGAACAAATTGGTCCATGGCTGCATCCAATCACCAGCACACCTTTAACGCGTTGGGGGAATGTATTTTCAAGATGAACCTGTGCAGCAAGGTGGACCTGTCCTGACTAATAGCTTAGTGATAGTGATGCTTAGGGGTTAGGGTTAGGTATGATCATTTCTGTATCAGCACCTATATGTGCATGCATGAAACATGTTAGGAAGGCCCTTTCAAGCCTTGCCTTGGCCGGGCATATGTTTTTCCTCAGTAATTGAGGCACTAGCTTCGTTTAGCCCCTTTGTTGTTTTGGGGTTGTGTTAGCGTGTTTGTTTGACCAAGTGATGTGAATGTTCATGAAATGTCTTGCGTGTTTTTGTTTCAGTTGGTGGTGTCCCCCTTCTTCAACTGCGGAGGTGTGCAAAAAGGTCAACTGAAGTTGAAGTTGCTGCACCATCACCCAAGACCATCCGACAGGCGGATCAGACCCAGCTTTAGAATAACACGGCTTCACATGCTATTGTGCATACCCTCCGACTCACTAACATGGAAGTGGGTCGCTGGGAAGACATGGGAAGACTACTTTCCTTTACGAACAGGAGGTTTTGCGCTTTCATATTGGTGAGTCAGAGTGTATTTCATTCTGGGATCCTGGGAAACAGGAATGGCTTTTGTTGGGGCCAAATGTGGATCCAGATCAGGTCGTCGACTGCTTGGGTCTTCCTCCAGATGAGTTAGGCTCACCCAAATCTAGCCCCCCAAAAAGATACTGACACAGGCCTTCTGGGAGGGGCTAGGTTCGGCTAGGTTCCGCTAACCCGTGATGTTTTGTATCGACTCCTGGCCCCATGGCCAAGCCTTTTTTGCCGGTTTCCGAGGTGACCGCGACGGGCAGGCAAGAGCGGAACTGACCGTGGGACTTCCTGAAAACATTTTGGGGGGTCAGAAGACTTTGGGGGGTCAGAAGACGGGTGCCCTCGGATTTAAGAGTGCATGCGTTTGTTAAATTAATAAAGTTCAGCAGTTAGTCATTATAACTGGTGCCAGTGATGGTGTGTTAAAACCAAGAGTTACCCGATTTCCAGCAACAGGGGGTGAACCGAAATTCAGCCTAAGGCTTTTGAGGCCTGTGGAGAAATTATGATTCTCAGCCGATTTAGTGATTTGATTGTGGGACTAATTGCAAGCCCACTGTGTTTGTCAATTGCAAGGGATGACTTCACCCCCTAACCAATGACTTGCCTAGTTTCCCAGAACTGGTGCTTTTCTTTTACCTCTCAGGGGAGGGTCTCTAGTTTTTCTCTTGGCGGCTTTTGTCCACCTGCCCGCCTTTCGCTCCGCTGGAGTTGTGCCCTTGCGGGCTGCAGAGTGGTGCGCGCTGGACCTTTTGCAGGTCACACATACCAGAACCGTGGTAGAACACATTTCAGATCACATGCCAGACATGTCAGAACAAGTGTTGGAATGCTTCTCAGACAAATGCCAGAACAGAGGTCCAAATACTTGAGACAGCAGTTCAGAACACGTACCAGAGCAAATGCACAAGTCAGAACAATTGTCAGATTTGAAGGCACAAAAAAAGTCAGGTTTTGCAAATGGTGCCGGATTTGTGCAAGTTGTAGGCGGCGGCAACAATCAAGGCACACTAGCATCAAAGTCAATGACTCTACGTTTTTCGCAACGCCCACACGATTCCACATCCGCCTCAAGCTGCTGTTCTGCTTTTCCAGCTCCTGCCAGTCCAACCCTCCCCGCAACCAAAAACTTTCACTTTGACCCTTGCTCCCCATGGAACCTTTCGTTCTGGCCCCGCGGGCTCTTATTTCGCCCTTGCTCCCACGCTTGCTGTTTCAACCACTGCCATTCCCACCGCCAGAAACCAAGAGCATTGCATTCTGGCCCACCCCGCGTTGAACCTTGCATTCTGACACCGAGCATCTTTCACTGTGACCCACTCCGATGAAATCCTGCTTTATCAGCCCCTGCCATTCCAACCCTGCCTGGAAGCAAAACCTTGCATTCGGACCTTTCCTTCTGACCCTGGAGGCTCTGTGAACCCCGAAACCCAGTTGGAGCTGTCGACTCAATGGAGCCTTTGCGGTTGCAAGTTTCTGGGGCGATTTGTGCGTTATTTTTGTGTGGCTGGCTTGCAGGTTCGAGTAGCGTCAGATGGTGCAGCTGGCCAAGGCCGAATGGAATGTCTTCAACACTTATAATCTTTTTACAGTCTCATACTGCTTGGGCTGCTTTTCTCCGGGTACTTAAAGGTGTAGTTATTAAACTACAAATTAACTTCAATTTGGAAAGCTCAAGTTGTTTTTGAATATGCTTAAAAAGTAGGTGTAACTATATTATATTTGGTTTTCATGAGCTTCTAAGTTTTGTTGACAACATATTTGCGGAGAAAATATACCTTAAGAGCAGAAGTTTTTACAACTACTTGTCTTGAAGTTAAACATAGTTAGTAAACCGATGTTGTTTTGGTGCTGTATATATACATAAAACATCTGATCATGAAACATTTGGTCTTTGTCGGCCTCACTATGGTCAGGGCACTATCACGGAACATCGTTCGTGTGACGTCAGCCAGCCTTCCGTCTTCCATCGGCCGGTTGTCGGCCCCTCCCCCTCGAGTCTGTGTGACAAAAATTACGAAAGCCAGCCTTCGTAGAAGGCGCCAGCTGAGTTGCGTTTGGCGAACGAAGTGAGGAAGTAGGGGGTCTGGGGGGGTGGCCCGCAAACGTACTACGTAAACTCGAAATTGGGTGGGGGAGAGGGGTCCACGGAAGGAAGGTTTTTGAGGTTGAGTTTTTGTGGTTTTTGAGGGAGTGGTGATGCAAGAAATGCAATTTTGCATCATTTGCATCATTTCATTGGTAAGGTGTAGCTGGCGCAGGGTAGCTACAATTCAGTTACAAGGTATAGTACTTCAAGTTCCCTTTCTTTCAGCCGCTCGACAATCTTTACACACGCACAGCAATCCACAGCTTTGAAGTCTCATTCGTGCTTTGAAAAAAGGTGTCTTTCCTTCCCCCAATGGCACGGACTCACGCAAACGCACTTGCCACCGAGGTCATGCAAAACCGCATGGCACAGCGACATCGCCTCTCGAAAGCTTTAGCTGTTAGTTTTTGTAGGGGAAAAGAAGACCCTTCGATCTGGAGGTTTTTTGAATTTTTGATACGAGTTTAATAAAAGATTCTATATAAAATATTCCTGGGCTACTTTTTGGTTTTGAAGCTCTTCCCAGGTGACCCTATTTTGGACCCCCCGATTTCCGGGACCCTCGTTAAAAAAATGCGACCGAGGTTTCCTTATTAGGGGGGGGAAGGTGGACCGGATTACTTGACAACTGAATTGTAGCTACCCTGGGTATACCTGGCAACTGCCTTGTAGCTGCCCTGGGTCCGCGCGCGCGCGCGCGCGCGCCTGAATCTAGGGCAGCCGGGAGCCAGCAAGGCGCGCGCGCGCGGACCCAGGGTACAACAGAATTGTAGCTACCCTGGGTCCGTATAAATGCTATGTTGCTATACCTCTTACACACCTATATAAGTTCAAAGCACGAATGAGACTTCAAAGCTGTGGATTGCTGTGTGTGTGAAGGTTATCGAGCGGTTGACGGAAAGGGAACTTGAAGTACTATACCTGGTAACTGAATTGTAGCTACCCTGGGTATCTATACCTGGCAAGGCGCCAGCTGAGTAAGAAGGGGGTTTCAGCCTGAGAAAGCACACCCGAAACTAGGTGGTGTGTAGGGGTGCACGGAAGCACGCCGTGCGCGATGCTGCATGCTGCCTTTGGCCAACAATGTGCTCGTGGACAAAAAGCGCTGGCTTTTGTTTTGCAGCTTCTCAGGTGTTTTGGTGAGGTGGATGGCTGTAAAAACAATTTAAGTATGACTCGTAATTCATCGTAACTCATAATTCACATTTATCTTCGTGTTTCTACGCTAGCCTTTTTATCCAGGCAGTAAGAGCCTGTCATTCATATGCTGGAAAGCGTCAAGCCCCAGCAAGCGATAGCTGACAGCGTTGGCCAGGAATAGTGGTGGCTTTCCATGGCTTCCTGAGGTCTCACGCGGGTCGGCGGGACAAGGTTCAGGCAGGGAAAGGTGGCCCCGAAAACTACCCAGGCGCGGAAAATATGCAGTTTTGTAGACGGCGGCATCTGTGGAAGCTTCCGCGCAGACCTCTCCAATGGATGTCAAGATGACCTTGATACGAACTATTGGCGGGAACGGTTACTTTCAGAAGTTGGTGTGCGTTCACCCCGTCCATTTCTGACTCAGGAAAGACCACGGGCGATATGGACACGAAGCATGTGAAAGAGAGGCAAGGCAGAGCGCACCGATGGCTTTCTTAATCGGCTCACGTGTTCTGCGAATATCTTGCGCCTTTTCCAGCTAGCGCAAAAAGTGTAAATCCGCATTTCCGCATTATTGTTTTCATGTGCGGGCGCAGTTTTCTAGTTTTGCGCGCTTTCGTGTTTCTCCGTTTTCTGCGCCGTATACCCGGCATTAATGACAGTTGAACTTTGAGCACCCGTGTGGGACGTATTACCATAGTATAGTGCTGTATGCAAGTGCTCTCTCAAAAGTTGGGAATTGGTGAAACCTAGGATGGGTTAACATAAATGCGCGCACAGCGTTTTGAGCATGGCATGGCGGTAAAAGAGGGGTGCAAGAAGACACCAATGACTTGTTGACTGCCTCAACAGCACCCCAGGCTCAACGATACTTTGGCGAGACCGCTGTCAGGCTGTGACACGCGGCCTGTATTGAAATTGCTCTCAGAATTCTGCTCTACTACCTACTACCTACTTGGTGGGTGGCTTTGGTTTATGGAACTTCTAAATTAGTAAGTTATGTTTTAAAAAGCGTTTTGAAACTTATAACTTAAGTTACAAAAGTTACAAAGCTAAGTGCAACTTATTAAACTTATAACTTATAACCTTATAAGTTCTCGAGACTTTTCCAGACACTACATTTCTCCAAATTTGTGTGATGAGTATACAAAACAACGTTCGATTTTCTGTGTGAAAAATGCTGGTCAAACAAGGGTTTGGTGCGTTTCTCGTGACATTTTCTCTATAAATAACTATGCCAGCATAGACCCGAAACAGTTTCAAAACGATTCGTTTGGACCAATTTTAGTCAAAAACGACTTCTTGGTATGCCCTACCTTCGATCCCCAAGAGCAAATTGCTTTATCAATGATTTTTGTCGGCGTCGACATCGCTAATTGTTCGCCCACAAGAGAAGACAAGAGAAGAGCAGGACAAGACCCAGTGACAAAGCCGGCCACAGAGCACAGGGGCGCGGCCAATCAGTGTGTCCAGGGCTGGTCAGCGCGGCCAGAGGACAAGAGAAGGACAAGAGGAGCACAAGACCTGGCCACAGAGCCCGGCCACAGAGCGCGAGAACCCCAACAGTAAACTGTTTGGGGAACAAGAGGGAGACAAGACCCGGACACACGGAGCCAGGCCACAGAGTTCAGGGGCGCGGCCAAGACAAGGACAAGACCCGCAGAGTTCTGAGTGTGGCCAGCTCTTTTTTTCTATTATAGAACCCCGACAGTAAACTGTTTGGTGAAAAAAGACGGTGGCCAGAAAGGTATTTCCTCTATATCGGTTGTGCTTAATGTAATCTTTGAATATCTTTGACTTCTGGGCAGAGTTTATCTAGCGCAGTTCCTACAAACCCCAGGAGAGCATGCCAACGAAAAAACATGGGCTCAAGTCTGTCGAGCCCCTCCACATCTTCACTCTGACTATTAGCTACTTCATGGCTGCGCATCCGGGCGCGTCCACATTTTGCAGGTTGTTCCTGTACACTGACATCGGGCGGAGGCAGTGACCACGAAACTGCTGTTTCCACATCACCAACCTCGGTCGTGCAGAAGCGCCACCTGACACGCCAGGAGGCCCTAGATGATGTATCAGGACACATATCAGATTTGATGTGTTTGTCACGAGAATCTAAATTACACGTTCCTGCTTCTTCGGGTGGGGATCACTCGACGCAAGGTAGGTAGTTTTGGTGAGTGTTCTCAACCATCACCGCCGACCCTGCGTGCTGGCCACATACTTCTCAGGGAAATCAAGTCGAGGATGCGACACATCGCGCCGGAAGCGGAACAGCAACTTTCAAGCCGGAGCCTCTGAGAGTTGAGTTGGGTCGCCACCACCGAGTTGAAGATCGGAGTTGGCGGTCTTGTTGTCCACGGGATGGGACGTGACCGTCATATGGGTAATTAGGGGACGGCTGGGATGTGAACGCGACAAGGTTGGTTTCGGTGTTTTTGTCGAGCCCCTTTTGTTGTCAGTAGCTGCGGGTCATACTCGGGCCCAAGCAATATCGCCTCCCAAAGCGGGAGGCCACGTTCTTGCTTGATCAAACTGGGAGAAATGCCGGCAAAGCTGCGAAATTGAATACGATGTCAGAATCCGAACGATTCAACATCCAGAACGTTTCACCCAAAACTATTGAACATGTTCCAAGGTGCTAGTGGTTAGATATCCTCAATGGTTTGGGCCCCAGCTGTTTTCGGAATTGTTGACACACTGAATATGCATTTAACAACTGTCCTGTTACTCTCTGTTTCAGCGATGATGCAATGGGAACACGGCATTTTCTACAGGACCCTTTCCCAAGGGCCATTGCTTCTCATTTTGTGAGCGCAGTGGTTCCAACAATGTCGTCTTGAAATCAGCCGAGCGAACCTGAATGCATGTTTTCTTCTCAAACCCTAGGGCCCTGAGTTGTCAATGGACTTGCGGCAGTTTGGCACATCATTGTGCACGGATCTACGTTGTGACTAGTTTTCTTTGACCATTTTGTGCTGCAAAGCGTTTGGGCAGAGCGTCCCAAAACCAAGCCGTGCTGGCTGAGTTCTTTGCTCTCAGGTGGCGTGGAGATCATCAGTGACGTGCCTCGGGGGGAAATGTAATACATTTGGGGATGAAACAACAGGCATCACATGGCATCACATGTTGCAGTTTTTTTTGGATCAGGGCGCACTTTTTGAGGACAGTTTCTAGCACTTTCAAGTTTCAAATCATTCCTGCTGACATAAGGACGGAAACACAGTCTTTGCTTGGTTGGTTTCGAGGGGTTCCCTCATGTTCACTCAAACCTTATGGTAGAAGGTCAAACTAGCGCATCACGTGGCTGCTGTGAAACTGGCCCTCACAAAACAACATGGTCAGAGTGCACACTGTACACATCAAGACCTCTAAATTTGGTTTTCAAGCGGTGGACCTTTTCTTCGGGCACTGGTTCTCAAGCTGTTTATGATAGAGCTGGCTCACTGTCTCAGCTTTCGACAAGAAGTCGTGGTCTTTGGTACTTGTAGACTCCAGAAATCAGCCTGAGAGCAGAACATATATATATATATATTAATATTATATAGAATGGCCATGAAGGACCTTTGTCATTCCAGTGGATTGTGGCTGGTATCGTTTGGCATTAGATATTTCTCTCCCGTGTCTCAGGACATGCAGCCTCTCCGTTCAACCTCCTCTCTCTACCTGACCCGGGTGCCTGGTGCCGGCGCACTTGACACGCACCGGACGCTGCCGCGGGTCTTGCGTGCTCGACGCTTTGGGGCAGGACATGTGAGGCATGGTCGTGGCTTGGCGAAGACCTGGCCCCTCCGAAGAATGATTGAAAACGAGACATGACACACAAGTCCAACACATCAAACAACAAGTACCTGTGCCATCCTGTTCCCATGGACATCATACTTTTTTGAGTCAGGTGTGCACACCTTGTTTGGACGTCCTTGTTGAGCGTTATCAAATCAATGGGCCTTCCAATCGACTCAGAAGCCAAGGCTTGGGCTCCGTACGCCTTGTGGGCCAGACCATTCAGGATCGCACCAGGGGTTGAACCCGAGTGGCAGAATCGACAGGTATGTCTCGTCCGGAATCGGGCACAAACTTCTGCCCTCCGGTTAAGATAAACCAAGCGATTGAACTTTACGGTACTGCTTTCTGAACGTAGCCGCAGTTCCATTTGGGTATGGGATTTGTTGAGCTATAGTTGTTGATGGAGGTGTAGGCCAGTGTAGGCTTTGGTTGATGAGACACAGCCGTTTGTCATTCAGCCCTATGCCATTATGATTTGAAGGGTCGTGAGGTTCCTCCGCCCTGTGTCCATTCGATCTTGTGGGGGTTCGACCCAAATTCCGGGCTACTTGTGCCACTCCGCTTTGAAACGCCTCCCGCTTTTTGAGCTCCTTTTTTGTGAAGTCTGACATCAACGTCCCATCGTCACGAGAGGAATGTAGACTGTGGATGAATAAGAACAGGTTTTCCGGAAGCTTCTCCATCATCATGTGTTTTTCTTCATCAACTGACTATAAACATTGATGTACCTCATTTAATTCATCGAATCCGAACCTTGACATCCAGAGACATGTGGCAGACATGTGTCGCACTGATGTTTGCTGCCGCCCGAAGACCCTTCTCGACGAACAGGGGGTTGTCCACCTCGTTGGTTCCATGGAGGGTAGTTGCTCCAAGAGTTTGGGCGACGCACAATAAACGCGGAATGTCTTGGAGGAGCCAAGTCGGTCTTCCTAAGGTCAATTATTAGGAACGCACAATACCGCACACATACATATAACTATTTACGGACATTAAACATATATATATATATATTATATATATCACGGTGTCGACATTCAATCTGATGTGCGGAAGTGCGAGAAGTTGCAGTAGATCTCCTCAAGTTGCCGGCTTGCACATGTTCGGGCTATGAGTAGATGACTCCAGAGTCAACCGCACAATTTTAGCACTGTGGATTCATGTCAAACACATTGGTAGCCCCCTCAGAAGATGTTGCACACTCGCTTTTCAGCGGTTGCACCCAATCTCAGTGACAATGGACTTACTGCGGAGGGCCTTGAACGCGTCGACTTTGTCCAGATCAGGAGGTTTGTGAAGAGGGTTTGCCAGGGCACAAGATGGACCATGTCAGCACAGATCGACTCCGACCTTTGAACAGCAACGATGTGAAAACTGCATCAACACACATTGATCACAAAGGGGTTGCTTTTAGTCCCTAAGTGAGTGGATAATAGACAACCCTAACCTCCATGGATCGCACCCCGTCTTATGACTCCTGGTCAACACACACATTGGTCAGTCGTAGCCCATGGTGACCTTCCAAAGGTGTGACTCGGCGTGCCTTAATCACCGTGCCAGCGGCAAGCCCACAGAGCCCCTGTTTTCGGCGCACGACCAAGCAGGATCCCGAAGAAACAAACAGGCCGCCTGCGCCAGACCTGCGGGCTATTTCGCAAATAGGAACACCACGGGTAGGGCCAGTTGGCTAGATGTGGCTGGTGCAAAGTTGCCACGTGTAGTTAGGAGTTAGGAGATACTCGGATGCAGAGTTGGGGAGCACAGACTCGGGTCAAATGAATGTGGTCAGCATGACTTAGTTTTGAATGGTGATCACAATGGCCTGATCAGCCTGTGACGACATGAGCCTCAGGGTTTTTTAAGCTTTGGAGCGTGGTCTTGGTGGCGCTATGATTCAATGGCCACTGTTAGACTTGGAATGGTGTTGAAAGCTTGCCCGATGACGCTTACATTATATAAACAGTTGGAAGTAGAACTTGCTCTAGCAGGCGGAGGCTAAAGTAATTCGCTTAGACTCTATAGAGTCTAGAGTATCCCTTTTGATCCACAAGCTCCCTTCTCAGCCGTCTCAGCTCTTCTGTTTGATGCTCAGTGCTTGAAAAAGCGAGTTACCACAGCAAGCTGTGTGCGGTGCCAGCTCTGTAAAATTGAATTCTGACATCCAGAAAGTGAACAATCCAGCTGTGTTCGGTGCCTTTGCTCCTTTCGGTTGTTGCTTTGTTGCATCTATCAAGCTACTTACTTGAGGATGACAAGATCATAATTTGACAAAGTATGTTGAGTGTGTGATTACTCACTGGTCCAACATACCAAAAACAGTGAGCAGCTACCACTATGCCCTCCAACGTCAGATTGGACAAACACATCGCCAACCTGCCATCATTCCCTCCTTCGAGCTGCTTTCTGGTCGGGGGAGGGGAGCGACCAAACCTGTCGAGCCCTGAAACAGGGCCCGGAACTCCGGGGCGGACGCAACTCGGTGCATTTCATATATAGAAGATAGCCAGACACTTGGGGTGGAATCGCCGGAATCACAGGGATCGATCGATGGCTTTGACTTTTATACGAACGTCTCAAGCAATGGGTTGTGGTCGTCTGTTCCTTTTTTCCGGGAGATCGAACCGGGAGGGTCTCCCTATGTGAATACACACCCAGTGGGATCCGTCAGGTTTTGCTGGTCTTTTCTGTGGTAACTCAGATTTGCCAAGTGTAGCCATGGGATGCCATGGGTGTTCTGCCCAGTTTTTGTACAGTGCCCATGAAGCTCCAGTTTCTGTATAGTGCCTGACGCTCTTCACACGCAGTCCGCCTGACTCAGGTGGGGTCGGTGGGGACCAGGGCCTCAGCCTTGTGAGGCATCAAGCTAAGCGTTACAACAGGGTGAGTCGAAGGCGGTTTGAACCTCTATCACCGCTTCTATCACCGCTGGCAGGACGTGGAAACCCCCAAAAATCCATGACTGTCTCAGCCTGCCTCACTCGGCGCGGTTCGGCCATTTTAGTGCTCATTCACATTCACCCCTCATCTTCCACAAGGTCCAAACTTCCATGAAACATCTTCCAGTCTTGGTCATAAAGACGAAGGTTGGGTTTTGAGGTGTGAACTACTGGCACCTCCAAACAGATTCAGTGCTTCGATTGAAGGCACCTCCCCTGCAGTTCAATAGGCCAGACCCTCGACCCATTCAGATCGGTGGAGTGCAGAGCATAATGAGGAGCACGGATCTGATCCGGTTCGCAGCCTGGTTTGCGGATGGGTGTGTTCCAAAGAGCTTGTGGCCTCATTTGCAGATGATCTCGCACACCCAGAGAGAGAGGGAGAGAGAGAGAGAGAGACAGAATGGAAGGAAGGAGGAATCCAAACATTCGAGGCGACACAAGTGAGAACAAGTGAAATGCATAGCATGGGCAAAGCAATAGGTACGAGGAGTGTGACACCGGGGCCAAATCTGCGTTTGTTTGAAGGCCGGTGAAGGACTGCTTGGCACCACAACTATCCGCAAGTCGCACTCTGTCAAGATTGAATATGACAGATACTTGTACCCTGAGATTTCCTAGAACATTATATATATAGGAACCATTGTACCCCGGAATTGCTTTCTGTTGGTCCGGACCTTGCTAGTAGCTGCTAGACTTAACAGAAAGCAGCTGTCGGATTCTCAGAATTACTGGCTGCCCTTGGTGCGATCCGTATTAAGACAGGGGTAGTTCTTCGGTAAACACCATATGTAGAAACACCACTAAAGTCATGGTGGCCGTGAATTTGCTCGACTGGGCAGAGGTGGAACCATCGGAGCCTACCAATAGAGAACAGGTTCTGCCTACCAATAGAGCAGGTCTTCATGGAGTGTGAGAATCTAACCCTTTTCAGCGTGCTTCTACAGACTTGGGTCGTTTTGATTCTGAAGTACACGATCTGGAAGCCAACTTTCAGGTAAACTTCAGAAACGATTCAGATCCATTCGGGATAAGCCTTGGCTTGGACACGATCTTTTTTCCAACGGAGTCCCTCTATGATCTCCTTAGCCTGTATACATAGTATTAGTCCAGTTGAACTTTTGATATATATATATATATATATATTTTTTTTGAAAGTTATTTCATATACCAGCATGGAGTGTTTGGGTACGGTTCTTTCATCATCACCACCACCACCATCACCATCATAATCATAATAATAATCATCATTGGAGTCGTCGTCATCATCATCATCATCATCATCATCATCATTCGACCAACATGGGGCTGACCAACATGTGTTCTGACATGTTCTGACCGTCCAGGGGACAGTCTGAACCTAGAAGCAGTTCCCATTGGACTATATATATATATAGGAGCAAAACGCATCGTTGGCAGAGAAAACTTGGCGTTTTGGTCCAATGCATTTGGGGTTTTGACCGTCCAAATGGGTGTCTTCACCCTTTCTGAGACACGGAACATACTTGGACTGATATTCGAAAGACTTCTACGATACATAGTGCTAGGCTAGGCTTCCAATTTCATGGCTGGGCTCACATGGAGTTGACCCTTGCCCGTGGCCTCACAGCGGGCGGAAAGACCAAGCTGACACCCTTCAAATCGAACCGTTGAGGCCGCTGCGACTTCCTAGGCCCACGCGAACCAGACTGGTGTCACTAGACATTTCAATGCTTGCAGAAGTGAACATGGTGCAAGCAAAATTGCCTGACTCGCTGCAATGCGGACACTTTTTGGTTTTTGAGGCAGATGAATCATGACTGGTGACAGCATGGTTGTCACTTGACACAATTGACACGCCACGGCCCTTGTTGCAGCATCTAAGTCCTTGAATGTTGAAGCTTGCACAGGCGGCAGGAGTTGAAGCAAGGGTGAAATGGCCGGCCATATACCGGATTTGCTCCAGAGGAAGCATGATTGTTTCATGCCTTGGCATAGATGCATTTCTTTGTTGCAAGCCTTATTTTCGTTGCTTCATTACTCAATTATTGTGATGCAAGGTGGCTCTCCCACCACGCGACGGCACACCTTTGTTCGGGAAGACCAATTTTCCAGGCATGGATCAACGAACGTTGGGCACCCCATCCACTAGTCCGCAGGCAGCTTTGATGTGCATTCATCATGGATCATCATAGTCATTCTTTTCTGGGCGACAGGTGCAATGCTAAGACATCCACATACATCCTGACAAACCACTTGAGGTCGCAGGATTCAACTGTCACATATGCGTTGTGCTTGCTGCAAAGACCATGACTTAGACAGATTATGGACATGTGAAAGAACCAATAGCCCTCGTCAGTACGGGACACATCTGGTCAAAATCAATAGGATCACATTCTCGCAGAAGAGCCCAAGTATGTACGAAGTCTGCGGCCCTTTCACAGTTCACTAGCTGGACTGACAAAGGTGCATATACTAACTATAAAGATAAATATACATACATAGATAGATTGATAGATAGATAGATAAATAGATAGAACAAACTTTGGACGGAATCTGAGATCAGGTGCTTTCGGTCATTGGCGCCATGAGCCAACCTGCCACAGCAGCTCAGATTCGGAGTGCGCACTCCATGGCCCCATCGTGCGACCGGGAGCGAGAGGCTGAGGCCAGGCGAGCACGCAATCTGGCGCTGCTGGCGGAGGGCAAGGAGGAGCTGTGAGCTGTTGCCGTTCATTTTTGGGATCGCCTAATGGGTCGCCAACATGACACCATTGCCGCCGCATCGCGTGCTACATATATGACACCGACAGGACACCCGGGAGGGATGATCCTGGAAGACATGCAGATGTTTCGTGTTTACGATTTACGTGTCCTAGTCTCTAGAAATTGTACTGGAGACCGGGGACATTCTTGAGATTCTCAATCTCCCCCTTCCTTGACATGCAGGAAGGCAAATGAGGTTATATCAAATCTTAACATTGATGAGGATGACAATGAGTCTTCGCCCAGGAGGAGGACTTTTTTGCCCTGATCCGCCAGCGTAAGCAGCAGAAGCTGTGCCACACGGAACGTTCCGTGCCCAGTCCGAAGGATGGGCCACCAATGGCAGGACCGCGGCAGGTGAAACTTGAGATGGAATTGGAGTGGGATATAGTGGGATTTTATGTTTGATGCAAACTGCTTGTGATGATTTTGTGTGAACTCATGATGTTCAGTAAGCGCGTTGCTGCGTGTGTTGGACGCAGGAAAGCCCCCCTCGTTGGACGTGAAGGCGGCCAAGCGCTTTGTCCAGCATCATGCGAGGGAGGTTCCTCCTCCTGAGCTCGAAACTTGACTAAATGACTCAGTGGCTGGGGATGTCAAGGGAAATCCTCAGTGACCACGTCCTTGAATCACTTTATTGCATTCTGGTAGGAGGTTCCCATGTGCCCTTGTCATATGTATTTTCATGGATACTTCACACTGCACTGAGGAGGACACCATGCCCTTGGCGATTCAGCGGCACTATGATTTGCTGCGCCTCCGCTACGATGCCAGGGATCCTGCCGAGGTCCTGTCCATGCCTCAGGCCTACAGAAGATCCACTAGTCACTATAGGCATGATCCACTATAGGCCTGCCAAACCCAGGGCTGCACTTGCACAGTCGGGTGCAGGTGACCAACTGTGGCAGGCACCCGACTGTGTTGTACAGTTGTACTTTGTGGTGCTTTGACCAGCTGGTGGCATGTCCAGAGCTTTCAACTCAGGAGCTGCATGCACTGTACCCCTGAAAGGGGTCTTCCACCACCATACTCTAGATGATTCTAGATTCTAGATGTATTCCATACTTTGCCATACATAGATATCCTTATATAGCTCGTATATGGATTGTCACATGATTCGCACTTTAGCTTCAGTACATGATTCCGCATCCTTCCACTGGAGTCCCTCGCGCCCGAGGGCCGCCTACCGGCGCTGGGCCACCACGACGAGGGAAGCGGAGAGGCTGAAGATGTTGGGCCGAGCTCATGTGCCTTGGAAGTGAACACCAAGGTGATGTGAGCCGTTTTTGGTGCCAGGTCAACCATGAGATCACTCATTTAGCACCTCCGAACTAGTATACTTTCAATACACAGATGATTCTTCCCCTCAAAGGCTGCCAGACCCAGTCCCTCTGCTGAAACTTGCTTCTTGCACGGTGAGTTTAATAGTCCTTTGGGTCCAGAGCAGTCAGACATAGTCAGACCCATGGCTCACCCATCCCAGGACGCCATTTGCGAATACCTCGGTCAACTGCCCTTGTCACGGATGCCACCGCCAGAGGAAGAGAAAAAGAACATGTGCCGCAGGGGGAGTTGGGATGCAAACTCAAGGGGGTTCCCACAGTAGCCACTGAACATTGACGTCATTGAAGGTGGAGAATCATGTCAACTTGGAATCAATATGAGTATATATATATAATATGTTTGAAATACTTAGAACGCATTCCTATTATTCTAAGGACCTGTTAATCATTCGGAGGAATGGGGTCTCAAATGGAGGAACCTCTCGAATCAATTGAGGTTTGATTTGTTTGGGGTTTGTTGGGCGGAGCCAATTGGGTCAACTTGTGGAAGTGATGTCCCCTGAAGTGAAGCCAGGATCCATCGAGGGTCGGGGCTAAGCAGTCTAGGCCTTACCAGTCGGGTCAAGTGTTTTGGGAGGACCCTAGGATGGATTCATAGGATGCCAACCGTCTCTTGCATGAAAGGCATGGTCAACAAGCAAGGTTTCTTGTGACATGCTTGTTTTGGTTTGGCATTTTGGTTTCAGTTTTGGTTTTGTTTGTTTGGGCTTCCCAGATCGAAGTTGCTTGCAATTGATCGAAAGCCCCCTGGTCAACAAAATTCCATGCTCCGCTGGCCTGTGGTTTGCGTGTTGTTTTGTATGTAAAATTTTCCAGCCCTGGCACTTTCCCAAACACCTGGAAAAGGGTGACTTCTCCCACAAGACACCGCAGGTGGTGGCGGAAGTGGAGCAGTTGGATCGACTCTTGCATGCAGGCCTCCACTCGCACGGCCAAGGGCAGGACTACCTACGAGCTGAGAGAAGGGCACTCCATTTTTTGCGAGTTGCGCGTGGTTCTTGCAAGACAGAAGTTCCAGTGACTTCATCCCCTTCGCCAATCAGGGATCAAATACTTCATCAATGACTTCCCCAATCAGGGAAGGTTCGTGTTGATCAATGTCTATGACTTCATGCTAGCCTTTTTGATCAATGTCTATGACTGGGCACTGTCTGACAGGGGTCCGGTTCCTCCACACTGTCCTAAGGGGTCTATCAGCTGAAAAACACTTAGTAGATCACTGTTAGATCTTGTTAGAATCGTGTGCACTTTTTGTTTTTGTTTGGTTTGCCCGTGTGCAATTCTTGTGCACGGATTCAGGGATTTCCTTTGAGTGTGTTTTAATGGCTTCCGTCACTGCACAGCAGACGTGTACGTGTCCGCATGTATGAAGACGGCCTCATCCACTGGCTGCTTCACCCGGGAAGATTAACATGGAACCTGAACATGGACCTTTGGAAGGCAATTTTCCTCTACAACTCTGTGGTTTTCAGGTGTCATGTTAATCTTTCCGGGAGTGTAGCTTGTAATGTTGGGACATGCTCTATGTGGTCAGTGTGGCCTTTTAGTGTTGAGATCCTACAAGGTGGTTGTTGGTTTTAAAAAACCATTTCAAGATAGATCTTTGTATTAAAAAGCAACTAGGTGGAAATTCTAATGTACATATTCAACTTTGTATGTGTACTGGGGTCGGCGGATTTACATATTATATATATATCTATATGATAAATTCTGTCACAAAAGAAAGAACCACAAAAAGCACGCATAGTTTACAAAGAGTCTTGAACTCCTTAAACAAACTGACATATTATTGTCATGTCATGTGTTTCATAAACTGTTTGTTTGTTATTACAATGTCATGAACAACTGAAAGCACATGAACGTGTTATGAAACAATATTGTGGACATGATATGATATGGACAAATATATGGTTCTTGTCCGGCGATCATGTTTCTTTATGTTTTCTTTTTCCAAATTCCTAGATTCCTAGATCAATTCCACAAAATGCCATAGTGAAACCATATTACAAAAACGTAATACTATTATTTGGAATTTACAGATCTCAAGTTTAGTGGCTGGTTGCTTTGTTGACCCGAGCTTGTTGGTTCACAAAACACATCAAATCAGAACAGAAAAGCGACTGAACTGTTTTTTTTGCTGTCTTTGAACGGGCTTCGTTTTTTTAGGTGCAAAGAACCAAAAGGAGGCCAAGCGGGACCAAAAGGAGTTAACACTAAGTTTAATAGATCCATCACTGGTCTCAATGCTTTGACGCTAAAGAAGATTAATCCACCGACTACTATACACCTGGCCGTCATGTTGGAAGCTGTGAATACAGTATATGTCCAGAGTTTTTCGCTCCAATCATATGCTGTGTTCGGTTCTTGGCTGGAGCGGAGACCAAGTTTGTACTTTCCAGTTCCAGCCACCAGCCCCAAGAACGATGTTTACAACTTCTGGCCTTGGTGACCCAACCCGCAAGAGTTCAAGAAAACAAGAATGTTCTACACCCTGGAAGATTAACATGGAACCTGAAAACCACTGTCTTCCAAAGGTCCATTTTCAGGTTCCATGTCAATCTTCACCTGTATATTCTTGCTTCAGGTCCAACTGTTCACCATTAATCCAGTGGCCCTGAATAAACGTCCGCCAGGCTTCTCGCAGCGGACAACATCAGCGACGGCCATGAACGATGCCTCCTCTCGATCCCATTGCGTCAGGAACTCAAAGAGGAGTCAAACAGCTTGTACTGAAAGACACGCGTTTTGTGAGGTGTGCCATATATATATATATATACGATGGTGATGATGATGATGTGTGAACTCTTCGGCATGAAGAGTAAAACTAAGCACGAGCTTCGTGAAAGGAAGTAAGGAAGGCGGTGGCCACGGCACCAGGTCCCCGAATTTCGGCCGGGCCCAACAGTGGAGCGCTGGGCTTTATCACCTCAATCCAAGGGATTTGCAGGCCATCCTTCCAGCATCCTCCAGCCAAAGACTGCGCTCTTCGAAACATCCAGGTCGCTACTAGCGATGGCCTCCACCCTAGTAGCCATGGCCTCTACCTTAGTTGGCCCCTTTCGAGGTCTTCACCATTTGCTTGCACTACCAGGACACCTCCGACAGTTCCAGGCGCGATCACACAGTGACACCCCCAACATGGGGTCCACAAAATAGTGTCTCGGGGCCATGCTCATGGCTGGTGGGAACAAACATCAACAAGACATATGCAATGGTTCAGAGTAGATGGCACAGACCCCAGGATGTCCTTAGATGGGTGTCCATATGAACCACCTTTGGGGGATAGTGCCATCTAATGGCTCTGAACCACGATGGCACATGTTGCAGTACGTTACAATATGTGTTGCTTGTGTTTTTTCACGGATCCGACTACACCTACAAGATCTTCGGAGGTGTTTGGCATGAGAGTGGCCACTGGTGCCCTGTTGAAGTGTCCTGCTGTTCTATAACTTGCACATGTACAATTTCATCATTACCCCTTATTAAATGCTCAACAAGGCCACCTACCAACAGTTTTGAATGACATGTGACATGTGATTATGTTATCATCCACCAACTTTAAATGGTTCCTTATGATGTGTTGTTTGTCGAACATCAGTTCATTTCAGAGCTGAGCCTCACGTGGTGACAGTTTCGTGTTGTCGGAGCTCCATTGAATTTTCTTCAGAGCATGCTCACGAAGCCATGTCACAGGCACACTCTGACTGGGACATGGAAGACTATCTAAGAGGAACGTCGTCTTCCAAGGGGCCCTTTTTGTCGCTTCGTCGATGGCGACCGGCCGTGATTCCGACCTGCTCCGGGCTCCCAGCGGGATATGCCGTCGCGCCATGGCCGAACACAGCGGCGCGCGGGGCACAGCCGCAAATGCGGCAGCCACTGCAAACGCAGCTGGACAATCAAGGGCGATCAAGGTGATATCAGGTGAGTTGAGGTGATATCAGGTGATAGTTGAGGTGATATCAGTGATACGCGCCATGCACCTGCTTAGATTGAGCAGGTGGGTTTTGAGTTTGTTCGAGTTAGGGAGGGGGAATGCAAGAGGGCCCCTTGTGTGCTTTTCGGGGAAACTGGCACGGGGCTTCCTGTTCATCAGCATTTGATCCACGGGGCAGCCTTTTTGCGATGTTGATATCATCCTCCAGCATGTCCCCCGAAATGGGCAATGTTAGAAGATCCATAATGAAGCTTTGGATGATGAAGCCATAGCACCCATTTAGTGGTTCTTTGACCTGGCAGACTGAGGAATTTTAGGCATTGCTTCTGGGGATTCAGATCAGTTTCGCATGACCAGCTACCCGCTGTGAGGATATACTGCTATACTGTGTGTTGGCCCAACAAGGGGAAATGCCATTGTTTTCACATGTCACCAGCAGGGTCACCCTGGAGTAACAAGAAGCTACTAGGAGCAAGGACGCTATTAGGTGGAGGCCATTACGACTACTAACAAGAAGCTACGACCGTAGTTAGAAGCCGTTCCAAGGTGGGCGGAGTTTGGGGCTGTTTCCAGGGCCTCGCAAGTCTGGTGAGGACCAGGCGACGGCGATGGTGACGGGGACCCGGGACAGGTTGGTTTGTGGAGGAGTTCCAAGGCAACAAAGCTTTGTTTGAGCATGTTCATTGGGCATGTTTGTGGTTGAACTGAGCGAAACTGTATGTAGAGAGTATTGATGGCAACGTTGCATAATTAATGAGGTCAAGCATTTGTTGTTTTTTGATTGTGTTTGGATGATGCGACCAGTTGGGTGTTTGCTGGTGGCTCATAAACTGGTCATCCAACCTTGTGCGTGTTTACCGGTGACCAGTTTGGGGTCAGCCACTCTTCTGGTAGTTGCATTCATTTGTGGACAAGGAATCGTTGTGCACATGGTAAGGGTCCACGTCGGATTTGTGTCGCGCCTGCGCTGCTGTTCATATTTTCCACTTGAACCTATATAGCTATCATACCGTTGCTCTCCTCCCAACCACCCCAAACCACTGAAACCCCACCAGCGACAGTGTTAAGCACAATACCGAAGCAACCTGGTGATCTGAATGACGTGACGCGATTCGACCATGTTGTTTGTTTTGGCCCTTTGCCGGTTCACACAGGAGTTGTATGAGGGATTGGTTTGAAATCTCAAACCAGGTCACAAATCGGTCCAAGTCCCGTCCGAACTTGGGTGGATCACAAAATATCAGGAACTAGCTCAAACATCTACTGTGGTTAACATTTACCAAGAGAGGTTAAGTGACCTTATAGGACCCTACTGGGGTACTTATG